CTTGATTTGTGCCTTTGTCAGATAACAAGAGAAATTGTTCCTTACATTTCATCTCATGTGCACTTTTGAGGAAGTATAGCAGCATCCAAGTCGACAATTTTACGAGAAAAGATGTGTTTGATAAAATGGGTGGAACGACGTTGCACAAATTTAAAGAAGAAATAGTAGTCTTCATCAACTTTCTCAAAGTGCAATAAAAAGTTTTGACGTATAATAAAGAGTTTTTTCCAAGTGTTCTCTCTGTAAAACTTTCTTTTGATAGAAACACGAGGCTGATATCTTGATAGTCAAATTTTGACATAATTTCTAAGGGGAAAAAAATTAAAAATATAATGCACCAGCCGGGAATCGAACCCGGGTCTGTACCGTGGCAGGGTACTATTCTACCACTAGACCACTGGTGCTTTAGATGTCCAATGTTTTATTTATTTAAGTCAAAACTAAATCTCGAAATTATGAAACATGAAAACTTACCGGATGAACATGAAATAGTCAAATATATTCCTGCATATTCACATATTTTGATGTTGAAAGCTAAAAAACCATCAAAGCATTTCATCATTTGTTATCGCCTTTTCAGGGTAGCATCCGTGTTCTTTTTTTGGAATCATTGCAAAGAAAATGGGACTATGAATCAAGAAATACAATTAATTGAGTTTCAAACAATCGAGTATCAGTAGCAAAGGACAAGATTGTGACTAGTTTGTTCCAATTTGAGGAACAAAACAAGGATCATGTCCAACCTCATGTAACAAAGCTACAATGTCAAGGATAATTACTACATTCGAAGAGAAATAACTAAAAGATGTAAGATGTCGAAAGACAAGTGGACATTGCACTTGGCTGCATCCTCTCATTCCACCAAGTCGGCATCCTACTTGTAGATAAGCCGCCATCCTCGTCCACTCTAATTTCATCCCAATAATCAACTGTGTTATCTCCCTCCCCTCCATCCCTCTCTATCATAAGATTTTTCTCTCTTGCTATCTCCTTTCACAACATACGAAGATCTCTATGTAAATCCTAACCAAAACCAACCTCAAAGTTGAAAACCAAGTTACCATCAATAGCTTGGTTCTAAAGTCCAACAAAGGGAAGTTACAACACCTCAATAAAAAAAGTCGGTTTTTTTTTGTTACAGATATCTTATCTCTTAAGGAATAAATCTCATATCGATTAAATACTAAAATATTAATAAATACA